TGTTGATTGTAGTATATTTGTAGAAGCTAATTGGATGTTTAGGAAAATTTAATGGGTACCAGAAAAGTGAAATTTCCGGGGCACCCCTGCAGTTTTTCCTAAAATGCCAATGAAAAAACCTGCAAAGACAGGTTTTAGTTTTCACCTTTTTGCTTGTATCTTGGTGAGTTTTGGTTTGTTTAAAATAAATTATATATCAAAATGACTGGCTTGAGGTGCTTGATATTTTCTACTAAGGTTAAGATATGTTAGCTTAGTAAAATATGTAGCAAATAAGCAAAAACCAAAATTTTGGGTTTTGAGACTTTTCTTAGTAGCCAAGTGTTGTTGGAACTTGAAACTTGGCCGCCTAGGTGGAGAAAAGTGAGCTCAACAACTTTACTTAAGAGTATAAGTAAGGTTTATTTAGTAAAATTATAAGAAATAATTAAATGTTTTTTAGCAAAATTTGGTACAAGTAATCTACAAAGAGAGTTACAGAATTGGTCTTTATAATCACTATATGTTAAATACATGTATTCAGAAAAGTATTTACTTTTTTCTTTTTTCGAACTTGCGAGAAAAAAGTGTAATTATTCAACCTTATTTGGTTCTAGAGAAATCTTTTCATATTGATTAAGCAAAATATTGTAGTATCTTATAATTTCCAAATTCGATTAAATGCTAGAAAATAGTGCTTTTTCAAGCTCTTTTATATGAATTCTCATATTCTCACCCAAAGGCACTAAAGCATAATTTATGCAGTTTACACACTTTTTTTTAAGTCTTCACTAATCAGGCTAGAGAAATCGGTAGATACTTGGTTCTGCTCCTCTTTTGATGGTTCTTTAGCTACTGGGGCCTTGCTATAAGTTGGAATAACATAGGTCTTTCTGTGTAACTTTATGTAGAACTGGTTTTTATTTGGCTCAGGAACACCTTGGAGCTTTCGAATATTTGACATGCCTAAAAATAGCATTGGTTCAGGTTTGCCATTATCTATATATACAAAATTTCCAATAACCGTAACTGTTTTTCTCTTTTTGTCCTTCATAGTAACTGGCACATCTGTGTACCATCCTAATGAATCAGTAATATGTTTGGAATTGCCCTTTATAGCAAAATCAGATGGCTTATCAATCTTCTATTCAAGTGCGTGAATTGCTGAATCATTTAAAGCATCAAATTCACTTCTGGTATCTAAGAAAGAATCAGGAATCGATAGATCATTTATATTACAATATAAGTATTGTAAAGATGAAAACCACTCATTTGATTTTTTTGACTCCTTCTCCAGAGCCTTTTGGGACAAGCATATTTTTCATATCAGTGATGAAAGCTTAGACAATAGCTGATTATACGTTTTAGGCTTGTTATTTTTTATTGGTACCTGTTTTTTTTTACCAGTAGATCATACCCAGTCCACCTATTATTTTCTTTATTATAATCTTCTTTCTCATTATCCAAATCTGGGGGTGTGTTTTTGAAATTTATAGCTGTAAGAGGCTTAAAATAAGCAAACCGATTGAAATTAGATCATGCTATCTGTTTATTAGGGCAACTATCTTTACTATGGCCTGTCTCTCCGCAAATAACACATTTACGTATATATACTTTTTGTAATTGATTAGTTAATTGATTTACTGCATCTCTATCTTCATTGATTGCATTTTCTATTCTATAAATCCTAGCAGAAATTTCATTTCATTGAGGGCAAGGTCTTTGAAAGGGTTTTACAGAATAAGCCAAGTCTAAATCATTCTTATTTAATAAACCTAATTCTTTTAAGTATTCGGCTATATAATAATTTTTGAGATCTTCTTCTGATTGCAATGATGAAAGGGGGACCTCTTGGTTGTCTAACTGGTTCTACTATCTGTGAAGCAGGTGCTTGAGCTTTTTAAGTGACAGCTTGCTGAGCCATTTGTGATTAGTAATCAGCTTTTTGCATTTCTAATAAAGACTGGTATTCAGTTTTTTGCTATGCCAGTGCATTTTGGATTGCTTTTTGCATATCTTCTAAAGAAATTTCTTGCTGTTGAGGAGCTGAAATGGGTAAGGGTTCATATATTTCTTGAGATGCTCACTGAGAAACTAATCGATCAGGTATTCTATCTTTTTTATGTCTAGCTATTTGGTGTAATTCTATTTCATAAAGTTTTTTAGCTAATTCATCCAATAGCAAATGTTCGCCGATATCTTTAGCTTTTTCAAGCCATGGAAGTAGAAAAGCATTTAAGAACTTTCTATGTAATTCTTCAGGTCTATAGTTGGCTTGTCTACCTATTCGTAATATTTTTCTATATAATTCATCTATAGTCATGTTTCTCTTTCTGATTGTTCCATACATCATATCTTGAAGCTTCTCTTTTACTGTAGAAAATTGAGTTTTTAACTACCATACAGCTTGACCAAAATGAATTCCAGGTACAACTACGGTATTACTAGCATTAGCATTGGGAGCATTTAGAGCATTATTAGTAGGTCGGCCTCTTGCTATATGCCAGTCTTCATCTCAAGGACCTTCTACGGCTCTTAACTTAACTATTGCATTTCCTGGCTGATTAAGAGCCTCATTTATTTTATTAGCTCCCATCTGAATAGCTGTACGTTTATTTATAGCTACTATGTTAGCTTGCCCCATATTATCAAGTAAGTTTGCTAATTCCTAATTTTGCTTTGTAGTAATTTCTTCATCGAACTATTCTAAAGTTCTTTTTCTCATACAGCCTCTTAATTATCCCATAGCTACTTCTCTTCCTGTTGGTGGACCTCCCACATTATCTGCTGGATTTACACCTTGGTTTTGCAAGTATAATCTTAGCTTCGCAAGAAAATCTGGGATATCATCACCCCAGTCAAAAAATGGTTATAGTATTTTTGCTATATTTCTTTGATTCTGTTGATTATTATGTAGCGCCAAAATTTGTTGATTTAAATTTAAATTATTCTGGCACTCTGCATGAGTTTTATTTTTCCATTTGGTGTATCGATTATTTGTAAGATTTAAGAGATGTGTAGTAATTGCTCTATCTGTTCTACAATCTTGTAGAAAGAGGATATTTCGCTGATACAATAACTGGAAAGCAAAATTTTTATATAGCAATTTACTGATGCAGGTTTGTTTTCTTGCCATATTATCTATCATTCTATTCACTTGGTTTTGTGCATTAGTCTGTAATTGATGAAGATCAAGCAATGCCTGATCTTGCTCTTGCCTGTATGTATCTCGGTGCCACCGTTCATTTATCAGATCTTGTTGCAGGTTAGTATATTTTCGACATATCTGTCTTGTTGATCTTTTAATTTAATTTGTTAAAATCATTCTACATATTGTTGTATTATCTAGGGATCGGTCTATAGCATTGGCCAATTCAGCTATTGTACCCATATTATCATCAGAATTATACAAGTCTAGAGAATTTTCATCAGAATTAGATTCATTTTCACCAAAATTCTATGCTTGTGCATTTTGTAAAGCCTCTTGTGTATTTCTAAGTTCTAATCTATCTCGATATCTTAATAATGCTAATGCAAAATTTTGACAAAGCAGATTTGTAATATGATTTTTTTGCTAATTTATTTTATTAATCCTGTTTATTTGATTAACCCTTATTGTATTTATTTCTCGTTTAAAGCATTTGTTTTTATCTACTAATCTGGTTGTATAATCTTATGCTTTAGATGTATTTCTAGCCGATTTAGATATCTCTTGTATTCAGGTTTTTAATTTTGTTTCACGTTCATCGAATTCTGATATTAATCTATCTTTACTAGAAATTTCTTTGTCTTTTCTTTTATTTTCTTCTTCGAGTTGATGAATGATTCTTTTTAATTTTGAAATTTCATCTATTAATTCTTCTTTCTCTTGTGTAAAGACTTCGAAAGCATTATTTAACTCTTCTTTAAGAAATCGTATTCTCTCTTTCCGTATTCCAATAATTCTTTCTAAGGTATATAAACATTGTTCGAAATTCCTATTTAATTCTGCTAATTGAGATACTACTTTATGGAGTTCTTGATTACTTTGCTGTAATTCCTCCATGTTTTTTTACTATAGTATAATGGAAAAACCTTTGATTTATATCAATCCACAAAAAGCCTATGAACTTGATCAAGAAATCGCTAAAAGTAAAAAAGTTAAAGATCGAAATTTGGCATTACAAAAACCTACGATTCTTATTGATTCCCAAAAAGCATATGATCTTGACTGATATCTTGCCTTACAGAAGCTGTATTATCAGCTTGAGGGTCTCTATCAAAATGTTAAGGGATTTTGGATGCTTGTAAGAAAGTGGCTACAACTTTCTTTTTAATGATATAAAAAAATGGCTTGATGGCCAAGCAATGTATTAAATTTTTCATCCTCTGCCAAAAAATATACCTTATGCCAGTTATTCTAAAATTACAAAACCAAATTCTGTACACCAGTGTGATTTAATTGAAATACCATATGATGAAGATGTAGATACAGGTTTGTTGAATAATGGCCTAATATTTATTATGTACTATTGGTTATAGACTATATGACTAGATATAAAGATTTCATTTTTTTAATATCAAAAAGTAGTGAAGAAGTTATGGAAGCATTTAAGAGTATATATAATAATCCTGATAAGCCTCTCAACTGGCCTCGAAAACTACAATGTGATAAGGGCATTGAGTTTATGAGATATGTGACTTTATTAATAGATGAACATGGTGTTGAGATCCGAAGAATTATAGCATGTTTAGGCATACAAGCTTGGCTATGGTTGATCTTTATGTCAGATTATTCGAATTAAGAGTTTTTAAAAATCAATATGCGATAGAGTTTCTCTTATCTACTGGCGAATGCTATAGAGAATGTTAACGATTTGCAAGAAGAATTGTTAATAATATGAATGATACTACTACTCGGTTAATTGGAATGAGTCCCAATAAGGCCACAAAACTTGAGCAGGTGTATTCCAAACTATCGATAAAATATAATTGCCCGATAGGTGTTGATAAACTGTGACTATCAAAGGGTACTACTATACAATTTTTGCTTGCTCCTGAAGAATGGAAAAATAATCCTTTCGAATGACATATAATAACAGATCCAATATGGTCTTCTAGCCTGCATAAGATCTGGAGAATTGTTGTTGAAAAGAATCCTCATATGCTTGTTTTATATTACTTGGATGAGTCAGGACCTCAATGTCCCTTTGTAAGAAAACAATTAATGCATATTAAGGAAGAGCCTATGTTGCCTCCTAGGTGGATACTGGAAGATAACCAAATGCATATAAGGCACTCTTTATAAATGTTTCTAAGTCTATTACGCAGTAGGGTATAGTAATGAAAATCACTCCTTTCTTGTAGCATAATGCCCTCTTTTCCCAATTACGACAAATTTGTGCATCTAGGTTCATCTGCCTTTGTGGGTGAAAAAAAGGCATGATTTAATAATGCTGATTATCACTATATTTGAAGGCCAAGCCTAGCTCCTTATTATACCCATCTAGATGTAATTCTTTTAAGAATTTAGGTTTTCAAAAAGGAAATTTTTTATGTAATAAATCCTCAAATATATACTAGCATGTTCTTTCTGGTACATTAGGGCAAATATTACATCATCGTTAATTCCGTTTCATATTTTTATATAATGCCTCCCATTGATGTTTTTTCTTATATGCCCATAAATATGTATTAGGACTAACTTTAGCTAAGCATCTTTCTTCATGCTTTTGGGCATATGCCAAAGCTTTAGTGTCAATTCTGTCTTGCATTTTATAGGTACAATAGAATATCATGTATAGAAATTTACGAAATAGGCATGTCTCAGAAAAATGCTAAATTTAACTTGGCTACTACTCTCAATGATCCTCTGCTCAAGTATACATCCTTTTTTTTTTCGGCTTCGACATATAGAGGCTGGTCACAAAACTAGAAATAAAATTGAAGTTAGCTGGTATTATTGCATGGAAAAAAAATAAATAATATGTATTATAAGTTTTCTAGCAGGGGTATGGAAATTTCAGCTAAGAGTACTTATCTATATAATTCGATGATTTTGTCTATATTCACTTTGGACAAATCATCAAAATACCTAGAATGTTTATTGTAAAGTTTTTATATATTTTTTAAGCCATTTTTTTGCCTCGTTCTGGGAATAGACATTAATTTGCTTCTCTTTTTCATCTGAATCTTTAAGTTATGTGATTTTATGTGAAGAAGATGGTTGATATTTTTCATTCTCATTGATAAAGCATGCACACATTCCAACCATCTTTTCTAAGTAATAGTTAATATCTATTTTCATATTTTGTTCTTTTGCAGTATCAAAAAACTCCATATAGTTAGCATTTCTACGTGGTATTAACTGACCATTTTCATCATGATACTGTTTACCTTTTACAACTACATAACTAAAGCACTCATCTGAATCAGGAATCTTGTTTTCATAATTTTCTTTTATCTGTTCTATAAAGCGCTAAATATATTTATTATCTTTATTAGGCTTCTATATAGCCATTGCAACAAATTGGTTAAAATTCTATTGCTTTCCACTAGCTTTTCTAATAGTATTTTTGATGATTTGATGGATTGTGCATGTATTATTGATATTTATTGCCTCCCTCATGATTTTCTCTCCAACAAATCTGAAAAGCTCTGTTTGACCTTGCTTTACAGTATCAATACCTTTAGTAAATAGCTTTTTTGGCTTGAAATTTACTATTTTCTCATATGCAACTCCGAAGTATTTCTTTTTACCAGTAAAACATACAGGGAACAATACTTTCTCATACACCATCTTTAAATAAGAGATACCATTTTTTATTCTAAAATAAGCATTTACTTTGTTACAAAATTTATCCATCACTTTTATAGTAATTTTTATCATTTCACACCAATATGCCTCTTTAGAAAGCTTGTTTTCATTATAATCACTATCACATTTTTCATAATACTTATCTGGGCAGATAAGATATAAAGAGTCAGTATCACCATATTTGATTCCAAAGCTTTTCTCTATAACAAATCTAGCAACAAGACCAATATTGTATTGTCTTGCTGAAGTAATTCCTCCAGCTAATTCACGAAGAAAGAATAGAGAGTTACTATTACCTGCCTTATCATAAAATGTATTCATATACACCTTTAGAGCAAATTGTTTTGAGTTTAAGCAATTATAATCAAAGCATAAAGAATCATGTTTTGATTTTAAAGCATTCGGTACAATTTTACCCTTCTCTTCTATGGTGCTTATAAGCTTTTCAAAACGCTTCTTCTCTTTTCATAGTATGGCAAACTTTGATTTAAGGTTTACTTGTTTATTAAACAGATCCTCTAGAACAGTAGGATATAATTCTTTTTTCTCAGAACAATTGCCATGACTGATGGCCCAGGCATAAAGAATACACCCATTAAATAGAAATTTAATCTCATATAATTCAATTCCTCTTCTACGTATATTATTAGCCTCTTTATAGCTCAATATTAATTTTTCAGGTGAAAGATTGTAAGCTATGATAAGGCTGGAATATAATGAAGTGAAATTGAGACCTGTAATGGGATGCTTATTCTCAATGCCTTTTATTTGGGGAAAAATATATGCTCCTGGATACTTACCTTTTTCTTTATTTTTGTGAGAAATTGTACTAAATAACATATTGCATT